ATATATATATATATATATATATATATATATATATATATATATGTTTCCTTCTGGTATTCTGACATTCAAATGCCATTTTTATCTTCTATATGCTAAGATATATCATCAACAACAGACCAAACTAACAATTCTATCCACATTCCATTTGGTGAACCAGTGAGCTTTCCTGGGCTTACAAAAAGCAAGGGTGACTCATTGCACTCATTGCAGCTGCATCACCAAGAAATTGTGCTCCATCATGGCTGACAGCCCCCCAGAAGCCCAAATTCAGCTAACCCTCCACCCCCTATATATCCTAGCATCTTCCACAAGCACATGCAGGAGGGAATGGTCAGTGGAATCCCAGGTGAGAGCCTTTTGACCCTCCCTTCCTTCCTTCTATTAAAGCCCAGCTGTATTCCCATAGACCTTGTTGTCACTGCATTGGCTTATTTCATTGCCATGACGACAGTGCAGGGTTATCCCTGCTGTGTGATGGGAAGGAATGGAATAGTCACGTTATACTAGAGGAAAAAAGCATTCCACAAACACTTCATATAATGACACCAAGGGATGAGCCCAGCCATAGTGGTTGCTTCCAGGATATTAAACTCTGTACACTAAGAGTAAAGTATGGGGGATGGGGCTTCTGATACCTTGATAAATGAGGAAGTAGGTACCTACTGATAACTTCCATCAGTGAGACCCTCACCTCCATGCAGTACTGCCACTGAAGTTCTCCTGCTCACCCAAGATGTTTCCAGGAAAAGATAGAATTATGACCTATTCAAAAGCTTAAAGCTAGCTGCCATCTAAACGACATGGTGAGAACATTTTCTTCTACCAGACCAAAGAACAGCAGCAGGAAGATACATGCTCCTTCCTGGACATCACAGAACCAAGTCATGACAACAGCCACAGAAAATCTACTGTGGATGAGGCCATTGCTTAAATAGGCTATCTCAGAATGGTTTTATTCACAAAGCTTGCAAATTAAGTTATCTAGTATATTTTGTTATTACTGGTCAATTCGTACATGGCATAGTACAGTAGCACAGAAACCCAAGGATGCAATGGCCAAGATGACAATACAGCTTTGTCCCAAAAAGTGAAACACTTTCTAGTTTATCTTCCTGGACTGCTGGGTGGCTACCAACCCAGGGTAAGGATTTCTTGTATGCTAGAGAGACAGAAGTTACTACATCTCTTCATTTGTGTTTCCTGGAGAAAGCTTAGTCACATGGCCTACACCTAACCACAGGGGAGTTTAGGAAACAGTCTCCAGCCAGGTTAACTATGCAGAAGAGGAGAGATGGGGATGGGTGACAACCAATAGTCTTCTGCACGGAGATGCTGGAGAAATGAACCCTTCTTCAAGAACACTTTCTTTTTCAGTCTCCACTGGGGTGGGATTCACAATGCTGGCCCTAAATAAAGCTATCTGCATATTGACTAAAGGGACTTGGGCCCTGTCACTCATAATCCCAGCACTTACGAGGTAGAGGCAAGAATGACCAGACTTCAAAGCCATCTTTGGCTACATAGAGAGGTATAGAGCAGCCTAGGCTACTTGAAACCTTGTCTGAAAGAGAAAGGCAAGAAACGGAGGGAGAGAGGAGAGGTGTGGAGAGAGGGGGGAGAGGGAGAGGAGAGAGAACAGAAAGAAAGGGCTTTATACTTTCTGGAAAGATACTAAGCTAAAGACTGTCATCATTAACACCTTGAACACCCTATATACTGCCCTAGCTGAGACTGATTTTAGGATTGTCTATGTGTCTATGTATGTGAAACCTTTAAGCCTTGTAAAAATAAACTCAGTAGAAAGCCACCTAGAGCCCGGAGGCGGCAGCGGCACGTGGGTCACTGAGTTCAAGTCAGCTGGTCTTCCAGGGCAGCCAGGGATACAGGGAGAAACCCTGTGTCAAAAAGAGGGAGGGAGGGAGAGAGAGAGAGAGAAAGAAAGAAGTGGAGGAGGTAGAGAACTACCTGGTGTACCTGGGAGAAAATTTTCTTCATAAGTTGCCACCTCTACAGTTCAAGTTCTGAAAGTATCCCCCTCACTGCTGTTTCAGGGTAGGATCTGGAGCCTATGAGCAGGTTGTGATCAAACGTTAGAGGTGACATCGGCTGACAGAAGCTTCCCTGTGTATGTGAGCTATGGACAACAGGTGTTTCAGAGTGTTTTAGTCAAGCATGTAAGGAAAACGACCAACCTGTTTTCAAAGTGAAGTTTATCTGTGAAGAGGAAAGCAATGCTGATCCCTTCTCAAAGCCTCCTCCGCCATCCTTTCCAAGACTCTCACCCGCTGAGGGAGCATGTGAATGGAGGGTGAAGGCCTGCCCTGCCTCAGCACCCAGTCTGCTGTGCTTTCGAGGCACCCCGGGGGAAGATGGCACTAGACACATCTGAGTGTGATTGTGGTATTCCAACATGAAAATCCAAGCCAGGGGTGCTCAACAGGTCTGGGCTGTGTTTTGAATTTTACATTTAAGAGACAGTATGTGAGGTCAGTTTAAACCCATAAATGCTATCAAAATCATTGTAATTACTATTGAGTAAATCTTCCATGTCCTGTTACCTATAGCATTGTACTAAGTATATTAACTCATTTTATGCAATAATTGACAGGAAGTGGTGTCATGCTTTGGGAAAACGTTATGACTTAAACATTTTAATTACTTCATAATTGTAAACGTATCAGACATAAGTCAAATATGACAGTTGTGTCCAAGTCTGAGACAGCTGGATGGTGCAGTATATATTGTTCCTTGTCACTAATATTAGATGAACTACAAAAGCTGCAGTAGCACTCTGTAAGAGTCAAGGTAAGCTTAATTAATAATCAGTAGGTTAGGCTACATAGGCAGGCTATGAGAAAAGCTGTTTCGTGATCCATTCAGTACTAAAACTTGCTGGTCTCAGCAGTCAGAAGCAAGACTGTGAGATGATCAGAAAATGGCATCCTTCCTAAGGAAACCAGACTTCCATGAACTGACACTTACCGTGCCGTGCTAATGGACAGACATCAGAGCAGCTGCTTGACTGGCACTTTTCGTTTTCTTTACTGTTAGAATTCTGCTGTCTGAAGCCAGAGTAGACTGTAGCATACCTCTAATACAGCTTTTCGGGTGCAAATATCTAGTCTGGATCCATGGTAACAGCACAGCACGTGAGCTGCAGTTTTTCTGGTTCTGGCAGTACCCATGTAGAAAGAGCTGAACTTCTCTTAGCTGAAGAGAACTGTGAGGTGGTACAGAGCCAGCAATGCCCCAGTCCTCACCTTCACAATCATGTCTGAGAACACACAGTAGGTCACAGAATTACTCTGGCCAAGATCTTTTTATGTTGACAAAATAAAGGGTAAAGTTACAATGTTTGAATATCCAGATTGGGAAGTTTGGAAAATTGGAAGTGTTCACGTTAGAATTTTTATTTTAATACCTCAAGAATTGGATAGTCTACATTAATCCAAAACTATTTTTACAAATAGATACTTATTTTTTAAAAAAATGACACCGTGTTTTTAGAGTATCTTGAATACTAAGAGAAAAGGATTTTCTGGATCATGTTAAGATACATTTGGAGGCTGGGACATTGACATGAGCATCTTTGCCAGGGAGGAAGTTACCTAGATGGGTGAGGACATGCTATCTCTTTTCAAGTGAACCAATCCATTGGATGTTACAAAAAGATCAAAGTTTTAACTACAGATAATGAGGATATTATTTAGAGGTTTATTCTGACAATTTTAAAAGCATATTTTTCTATTTTAGAAGTATAATTTCTAGGCTATATTTTTATTGGCACTTCTGCAAATGATTTTGGATTCTAAAGATAATAATAACATTGGATTGTGAGCATGACTCACTGAGACCACGCATCAGACACACACAAGGTGCTGTAATCAGGGCAGAGTCGCTGCCTTACTTAGCCTGGCTGCCCTTGGCCCTCTGTCTTTACACAAGATTAGGTCTTGGTATTTCAAATGGTACAGAATCCTTTTTTTAGAAAAATAAAAGGTGTGGGGCTGGGGACTATAGCTCAGTTGGTAGCATGTTTACCTAGATCACACAAAGCCTTGGGTTCAGGATTCAGTACATAAACTGTGTGTGGTAGTGCACACCTGTAACCCCAGCACTTGGGAGGTGGAGGCAGGAGGATTAGATGTTCTAGGTCATTCTTAGCTCCTTAGAGAGTTAGGGGCCAAACTAGACTGTATGAGACACTATCTCAAAAAGGAAAAATAAAAATGTGAAGAGATCTTGAAAATTGTACAAATTATGCCTTTTTTATTTTAGCAGCTACTAAATAATCATTTATATATTGTTAAGTAATAAAAGATCACTTAATAAGTAGCAACATTGAGTTGGGAGGGGAAAGACTAGCTGTGATGCTCTAGTCAGCAGAAGTATGGATTCGCCTTTGCTAGTGTTCTGCATTCATACTTCAGTCCAGTCCTATCAGAATGTGAAGGGCTGCTCAAGTGCCTGCCTTCCTACTGTCAGTCTGTCAGCTACAAGGCTAGGTTAAAAGCTGTTTGCCAGGTACCGTCTACTTCTAATTCTGCTTTGAGTTTAGAAAGCAATAGACTTGGAAAAGTAGAGGCTTAACAAATTACTTTTTTAATATTTAGGTCAAATTTTCAAGTCTTATCTTGGAGAATTTTTAGGTATGCATTGTCTCCTTCTTCTGTCCTAGAGAAAAGACCAGCTGCACTCTTTAAAGCTAGTATTTATGATGAGAAGAAAACATCTAAAATCTAAGACGGCACAGGCCAGTCAGGAGCACTCCTCCTGCCACAGGCTGTGAAGTATAGGAAAAGGCGGGGAAGGCCCTGAGCCATCAGTTTACACTTGAGTGTGGGCTCCCTCTTGTGGTGGTATTGAAGGCTTCTGAGTACAAACAACTAATGTAGATGAACACTTTTGATAGTAAAGTCTTGACCAACAACCCTAAATCCTCCATCTCATTCCAGCGTAAATCCATGAGAATAATATCCAAACTAGATTCTTCTGTACAAGTTTTTTTGTTGTTGTTGTTTCACTTTGTTGTTGTTCTGTTTGTGTAAAACTGTGTGCCACAGAAGTTCACCACTTAACTCCTTTGTTACTAAAAGGAAAAAAGTATCTTCAACTAGTCTCCACTCAAAACATATTCAAATCCAGGCTCACACCTGTAATCCCAGTACTTGGGAGGCTGAGGAAGGAGGAGCTATGAGTTCAAGGATAACCTGGGTTACATGATCTACTTGAGTTCAAGGGCAGTCTGGGCTCCATGGTAATCCTGAGCCCAAAATGAGACCCTGACTCAAAAAAACCTTTTTTTTTTTTTAAATCAGGCAGGCAGCACTGAGTTTTGATGTCAAAGCATCCAGAAGCAATTCCAGACTCTCAGATTTCCATGTTAAATAAACCACTTTTGAAGCATAAGCTGACAGTTTCATTAACTATTTCACTGAAGGCTTCCGTGTTTAACACAAATCTCTGAGAGACGCAGTGAGGTCATATGACGGGATTGTATTGTTTTCTTCACAAGTCTTTCCTGTGGGCATTTCAGAAATTCAGTTCTCTTAGATGGTACGTCTTGTGAATATAATCAAATAGGGTAGTTGAGACTATTAGGCCACTGTGCATACTGGCTTAGTTAGGTACTGTGTATAATGTTAGTAATTGAGTTGTAGGGATGAAATATTTCTGTAGTAAGCCTAAGTTAAGACTGCCCTGGAAACAAGGCCTTATTCCCTTCTCCATGTGATTTTCCTCAGAATATGTATACACAAACTATTTTAAGTGGTAATATGGGTGGTCTCTCCATACAACAAACTTGATTTTTAAAAAATTGATTTACAATGTGTTCTGTATTTTCAAATGTGTATGTTTATCTTACTTATATAATTATTTCACCAATATTCACTGGCCAAATTCAATGTAAGGAAAGACAGACTATAGAAGGAGTTGATTGATTTTGACAATATGTCTTGAGAATTACCTTCTCTATATTATTTCAATCATTTGGAGGTTTACAATGTGTTTATGAAATGTATTATTAGTAGCTGAGGAATAGCTCAGCAGTAAGGAACTTTCCAGCATGTGCAAGACCTGGGATTGGTCCTCAGTGCTGAAAAAAGGAAAATGAAGTGATTCCGTCAGTATTCTGTTCTAATACTTGGAGAATGACCTTCATATGTATGTATTTTATGTCTTATGTTTTAACTAGACAGTGATAAAATCCAGGAAATGTTTTATAACAAAATAAAGTTTTGTTTGTAAAATATTTGTAATAATGTAAAAGTGGATCTTATACATGTTCAATAAAAAGCAGTATCTCATCTTTTTAAGGTTTTATTTTTATTATTTTCATCTATGTGTGTGAGGGGTTGTGCATATCAGTGTGGTACTCATGAAGGCCAGAAGACTTGAAACCCCTAGGAACAGAATGCAGATTCCTAACCACTGAGACATCTCCCAAGTCCGTTATTTTTTAAAATATTAGGAAGCCAGGTATGGGCTCATGTCTCAAATCTCTGCAGGCAGGGGGATCACTGTGAGTTTGAGGAAAGTCTGGGCTACATATTGAGTTCCAAGACAGCTTGGACTACAGAGAGTGATCTTGCCTTTAAGAAAAAAAAAAAGTAAAAAGAGAATTCCTGTTTTCTCTGAGCCCTTTGCCTGATGTTCACAGCCATGGAAGACCTGTTCTGCATTAGGAGGACCTTGCTGATGGCTTGTAGCCTGTACTGCAACCTGGCTCCAGACAAAAGTTAGCCAAGTGCCCACAATAACTACAGACAACCTGCAACTTTAGTCATTGGATAGGATACATCTTCCTAGGATACAGTTACCCTGTCTCTTTCACTGAGCAGGGGTCCTGGATAACCAGTAGCTACCCTCAGTGAAGTTAAATCAGGTTCAAATGTGATCCGGGCAGTTAAATTTGACAGACATCAGCCAGTGACCAGTGGCATGCTACATTCAAAGAAGCTAAAAGTTGTGATGAAAAAAAGAGGAAAATGGGCAGGAATTTAAAAGGCTGATGTGATGTTCCCTGTCACCTCAACTCAAACACATGGGAAACAGTTGTTGCCTGGGACAGTTTGCCATGGATGCTGAACCATAAAAGTCTTGCTCCTTCCTGTTCAGCACAGGAATTAAGCTACAACTTCTGGATGGTGCAGTAGTCTTCTAACTGTCCTGGCTAAAGATTTCACTGCCTCTCACCAGTGGGTCTTACATCTGTGGACATTATCTTTTACCATTCCCAATAAGATCTTTTTAAATATTTACAAACGCTTTTGGTATGCTACCCATAATTGTAAATGCTTTGGGTAGGATAAAGGACTTCCATAGATTTTTAATTTGTCATAAAGATACTTCTTTATGACAAAAAAATACTAAGAATTAGGTTTTTAAGAAATTACATTCACGACGGGTGTTGGTGGTGCATGCCTTTAATCCCAGCACTTGGGAGGCAGAGGCAGGCGGATTTCTGTGAGTTGGGGGCCAGCCTAGTCTACAGAGCGAGTTCCAGGACAGCCTCCAAAGACACAGAGAAACCCTGTCTTGAAAAACAATGTAAAAAAAAAAATTACATTCAGAGTCACCCACATCCTTGTCCAGACTTTTCTCACCATTGGCTGCAATGACCCCTTAGAAAGGAAATGCAACACCAGCACCCTCCTCTGAGAATGCTGAGACAGCAACTGAAAGTTATACAGAGCTGAGCTTAAGCGTCTGAGTCAGATCCTTCCTCCCACTGTCAGGGCCCTGGACAGTGCAGCTCATAAGAGAACTGACCACTAAGCATCCTACTTGTTCGTGGGAGGTGATACAATATGGGCACTACAGGGAAGAGTCTCCAAACCCATCCCCAGGACACAGGTTAACTTGGTACCAGACCATAGCAAAACCAGGCAGGGTCTCTGACCTACCCTCAGACCTCTTTGCCGGAGTTCCCGTTTTTCTCAGCATCTGGTGGTTTTCCTCTGTCTCCTTCTGATCTTTCCCTTTTCTTTCCTTTACCTGTTTAAACCTGCGTACCACTCACTGTTCTAGCTAGTTTGTTGTCAACTTGACACAGCTAGAGTCAACTGGGAAGAGTGAACCTCAACTGAGAAAATGCCTCCACCAGATTAGTCTGCGGCAAGTTTACTTGATTAATGTTGGGCTTGGGAGAGAGGTGGTCCTGGGTTGTATAAAAAAGCAGGCTGAGCAAGCCATGGGGAGCAAGCCAAGAAGCAGCACTTCTCCATGGCTTCTGCTTCAGTTCCTGCCATGAATTCCCTGGATGAGGAGGCACTGTGCTGTGGAAATGCAAGCCAAAGAAACCCTTTATTACAGCAACAACTAATGAAAGTTTCCAAGTGGATGAGGGAGAAAACCATGGTGAAATTAATCTAGCCCATGGTTATGTAACAATTAGAAAGCAAACTGGATGGGATCAAATTTAGACATTCCCTGGATCTGTGATATCTGGTCTATGTGAAACCGTGTAACAAGGAAATGTCAAAGGCATTCCTGTATGAACTGCTTTAGACACATTGCTATGCAATTACAACTCTGCTAAGTTGGGCTGTCTTCTCGAGCTGGTTGGTCGGTTTGGTGTTTCTTTGCTTTGCTTTGTAGCTTAGCTATCTATAATTATAGCAAGTCAAAACCATAGTGTATGCAGTTACTTTAGGGAAAGTGTGCCCCCTTCTGGCATTGGACTTTAGTGACTCCCAAGTGATCCTCTGTCTGCACATATAGTCCATGGAATAAAACCAAAGAGTGGGGTTAGAACATATTGGATATTTTTTTCAGTAGTGATCTTAAATAATTTAAAATATCTGCCAAAAAAATTTAGCAAGTCTTCTCCCCATGCTGCTTAAATAAGGTGAAATGCTTCCTGTAGTATAGGATTGATGCAAGGTTCTGAAAGTGCAGGTCCATGAGGAGACCTAACAGGAAGCACCAAATAAAAATCACGATATAAATTACACATAGAGATAGGCCAGGACACAGACACCACAGTGGAAATGCAAGGCCCGTTCAGTGAACACCCAGAGTCCAACCAGTCAAGATTAAGGTGTAGATGTATACTGCAGTGTTTCTAGGAGCAAAGAAACTGATTTAACTTAATTTGACCAAGTATGCCAGCCTGAATCTCATAGACTGCAGAATGAAATGGGGAAAAAAGATAATTACAGTGTTGAAGAAAAAGGAATAAAGGCAAAATGTATATACAATTTGGCAGGTGTAATGGGCCTCCAGACCTTAGCACAACTGATTCCATGATGGAAGTGTCATTCAGGCTGTAAAACTCAGCACATAGACAGTAACACCTGCCAAAACAAAAACAAAGGCCTCAACCATCACAGTCCATAGTTCTGGGAAATCTCTAAATGTACTAACCTTGTTTTTTGGCTTCTGCAGTTCTGCTTCTGGCTGTTTTTGTTAACTGAAATATGGCAACCCAAAATACAGGGTTTGTGCTTAAAAACTCACACTAAGAAAGGCTTGTCGCTACACTGGGATCCCAAACACCCAGCCTAAGACTTTTTATTGGCTTAAGCCCATGTCTGAGCAGTGGTGGATGGAGAAGAAACTGCGGCTAGGCCTACCCAACCCGCAGGTGCCCAGGGTGGCCTGCATGAGTGTGCACAGCAGGCACTTCTTCCCTGAGCCAAGCCTGCCTCTACGCCAGAGACTGCTGACAGAGAGACAGCTGACCCAGAGACACCAATGAGGAAAGGACAATGCAGCAGATTCAGCCTCCTGAGCCAATAGGACCTTGGAAGGGGGGTATAAAGGCAAGTTAACTTCCTTAATAAACGAGTCTGCAGCACACTCTGCTACTCACTGACTCCCAGTGCCTGGGTCTTTGGTGCTGTGTCTTCTCACCCCCTCCCACAAAGGGTGTCCAAGCAGGGTCACCCACAACAGGTGAATACTCCACATCAGCAGGAACATTAAAAACCCAGCAGATAATACGTAGGGAGTGTGAAGTGCTAACCTTTTTGGTGGGGGGGAGTTTATAACCAGCATTCAGGGCTTCAAAAAAGTATTATTTGCTGTACAAAGTTCTATAACTTCCAACTCCCACCAGCTTGTGTGTGATGTCTCAACATTGTGCCCAAATGTTATTTTTTCCTAAGTATTCACAGAAGAGTCCATCACATATATGTGTATCTTAAAAAAAAAAAAAAACTGTATAGCATCCTGCACAAGGTGGAAATGCATTGTTCTTAAAGTCTTCGGAAGATTCTTTTACCATTGTTAATGTTCGGCCCATGGTTTCCTGCAGCTGCTTAACATAAGGCACAGGACCAGTGATGATGAGTGTAGTCATTAAAACCCAATCCAGTGGAGAAAACTGCCTTCATTGGGTTGTTCCTTGGCCACCACTGACAGGGCAGAGAACACTATGGAAGCTGCAGTGCCTGCTGAGAATGCTATTTAAGGGATGACTGAACATCAGAGCAGATGGGGAATTGACTGCAGCTGTGAGAGTCTCATGGAGACACTGAAGGGGCCAGGTCTCACATGCAAATGATAAGAAAACAACTTGGAATGCCAGGAAAACAAGCTTCTGTGAAATCACAGAAATCATTTAAAGTTCTTGCTATCATTTCCATCTGGAATGTCTTCTAGAGAGCCCCAGGGTGGTGCTGCTGGGAAGTCATACAATCTTTAGGAGGTAGAACATCATGAGAGATCCTGCATGGCTGGGGGTGTGCCTTTGCAGAATTGAGACCATGGATCCTCCCTCCCTTTTGCTTCCTGGCTACAAAGGGAGTGATTCTGCTGTACCATGAGGTCTGACCAACATGTGCTGCCTTGCTACAGGCCCAAAACAACAGAATGAAATTACCTCAGACAGGAACTTCCAAGACAGAAAGCTGAAACAAAGCCTTTCTCTTTTTAGCTACCTCACTATTTTGTCATATTAGCAGAAAGCTAGGTTTTGGAGCTGCCCAGAGTGGAAGTAGGAGTTGGAGGCTATGGCTGGCAATACATTTCATACATTGTCTGGGAATGTGGACTCTGGTGAGTGGCAGTGAAAACTTACTTAGGCAAATATTTCTTCATTGCCACAAAGAGCAATTCAGTCATTGGAGAATAGACATCTTAAATTACTCTGCAATCATGTGGCCCAGGGGATGGCTCTGTGGTTAAGAGTGCCAACTGCTCTCCCAGAGAATCTGGGTTCAAGTCCCATCACCCACATGGTGGTTCACAACTGTCTGCAACCCCAGTTCCAGGGGATCCGATGCCCTCTTCTGCTCTCAAGCAGCAGCCAAATGACTAAGTAAATAGTTTTTTAAAGTTATGTGACTCATTCATGTGAAATAACTGGGGATGGTGGGTTAAGAAACAACCTCCAAAAGGTCATTAATCCTTGCAAAACTAGAGTCTACACTTAATGAATTGAGAACAATGAGTATTTGTTAGTTGTCTCTAGGAAGGGATAGGAAGGGCAAGCTCTCCAGGAACATTTCTTTACATTCTCAGGAGTAATTGGGGGTGGGGGGTGGTCGGTGGTTAAAAGCAGTGGCTGCTCTTCCAGAGGACCAAGGTTCAATTCCTAACACCCATGTTACATACAGTTTACAACTATCCTTAACTCCCTCTGGTCTCAGGGAATCCTATGCCCTTTTCTGGCCTCTAAGGGCACTGTACGTACATAGTTCACAGACACAAATGCAAGCAATACACCCTACACACAAAATAATAAAATTTTTAAATAGAGCAATTGAGGATTTTTACCATGAATTTCTATACACAACTATGAATGTTTTGCAAAAGAACATGTCGCCGATACAGAATGGAGCACATTCACGTTGCATTTATAAATTGCTAATGACAAAGCTGCATCAGAAACATACAGTAGGGACTAGAGAGAAGGTTCAGTGGTTAAGAGCACTTGTTGCTCTTGTACAGGACTGGAATCCAATTCCCAGCTCCCACATTAGGTGACTCACAACTGCCTGGAACTCCAACTCCAGGGGAACCACTGTGGCCTTTTAACCTCCACAGGTACCTGCACGTCCATGTGCATACATACACACAGATACACACGAATAACCATAAGACTTGAAAAATAAATATTTAAAATATCCATTAGTAAAAGAACACGTGTAAAAACTTCGTGCACTTAGGCCATTTGGGGGAAGCTGATATAAAACACAGGCCATCAACTGGGTTCTATGCAGAAGGGTGGGCAGCGCTGCTCTTCAGGAAGCAATGAGTGGGAGAAGCCGGGAGCCCCCAGGAGGCTATGAGATGGTGCGCATTGAAGATAAAAAGAATTAAGTTATTACTAGCTTTATTTTAGATTATATCGTTCTGAACTATACTTTTCCTTTCATAATTTAAACTGCTAAGGTTGTTATAAGGGAAATAATTTGCACAGCTTTTCTTCCCTTGTTTGGGTTTTGTATACTTTTCCTTTCATAATTTAAACTGCTAAGGTTGTTATAAGGGAAATCATTTGCACAGCTTTTCTTCCCTTGTTTGGGTTTTGTTTTTTTGTTCGTAGGCAGGGTCTCACTATGTAGCCCTAGCTGTCCTAGAGCATGAAGTGTAGACCAGGTTGACCTCAAATTTGTCTCTGCCTCCTGAGTGTTGAAATTGCAGTGTCGTTATTTTGTGCTGCTAAGGGATCATAATCAGGCCTCGGGCATGCTGGGAATCAATAAAGGTATTTGGAATTTAGTTGCTGTTTTGTGTTTGCTTTCAGGGAGACTTAAAGGTAGCAACAACCTCCCCCATAAAGATCTCAACCATCTGGGGCTTAGGGAAGTAGCCAGGATGGTCAAGTGCTTGCCCAGCATGTATGAAGCCCTAGTTCAATCCCCAGTACTGCAGAAAACAGGTACCACAGCACAGGCCTGGGAGGTGGAAGCAGGAGGTTCAAGGTCACATTCTACTACATAGCGAGTCTGAAAAGCAAGGTCTCCGACACTTTAAATTCAACCAGAAGCTGAGCTTGCAAGAAAATATACTTTCTCTCCATCCATAAACTTCTCGGCATGCACCAGTGCTTAGCCCAGAAAATATGACAGCAGTGAATACGCTTTATTCAAAAAATACGGGACAATATGTTTCTGGTAGGAGCTCCCCAGTAGGAAAAAGAAGGAAGGGGGATTAAAATTACACACACACTTGTGGCTAGGGTAGAGTTCAGCAAAAGCACCTGCTTAGCGACTGCGGGTCCTGGACTGGATCCCAGCACAGAGATGTTCTTAAATGTCTCCAGATTTAAGAGAGCTCCCCAATTCCAAGGTTTCAGATTCAAGGTAGCATGAGGCATTAGGGCCTCAGAGAGTGCACTTCCCAAGTCTGATTTTTTTTAGGACGCTCCCTGAAAATTCCCAGACAGGGATGGAAGAGGAAGGAAGAGATCTGTCACTCAATATTGAACTCAGAAAGGTTCAAATGGGCTGTGATGTGAGAAGGAGTGAAGGGCTCTCAGGTGACAGGTTAGGGGCAAAGACTGGAGAGGACGCTGTTTCAGCAAGTCTCC